CAATGCGCCACACGGCATGCCATACGGTCCCGGACCGCCAGGGGCTCGAGGAAGCGGAACTTCTGCATGGGATGGTCCTTCATGCGACGCAATGTTCCTTTTCAGGTTGACTGGCTCCCTGATGGTCGCAACACTAGAGGGTCGCGTAGGCACTGGGTACATATATCTTTCATGAGAAGATGGTTCAAAAGGGTCCGTACCATTCTCGGGCTCTTCAAGATTACTCTTGCAGTTCCAACACCAACCACGCCCAACAACATTTTGGTTTCCACACACATGGCAGTAAACAACATTCAATGGCGAGGCTGAAGCAACCGATGGGGCTCTTCCGGCTTCCGACGGACAAGCATCAAAGTAGCCTGCAATAGGCGAAGCTCGAAGGGCTTCGTTCTCACGCGCAAGGTCTTGACACCTAGCTTCTGCTGCGGCGGTCACGCGTTGTATCTCGCGTTGGGCTTGTTCGGCTATCTGCTGATGCTTGAGGATTTCTGCTTGTGCCTCTGTTGTGATCTGGTTGATTCTGCTGTGTGCTTGTCGCGCCATGCTGGCCTCTTGTTGTTGGATGTGTTGGTTCATCTGTTGATGTTCAAGGCTCAGCTGTAATGCTGCATTCTGCTGCTCAAGCTGATGTTGTTGTCGTTCATGCTCTATCACCTGTTCTGCATGGCTCAACTGCGTTTGAACGTAACCCTGAACAATTCTTTCGAGTGTCTCTGGATCGATGTTGTGCTGGTTGAGTACTTGCAGGTGGTTGAGGGTTCTCTGATCATAAACATGCACCCCAGGAACAGTCGATGGATCACCTTGTACCCCAGAAGGTTGGGAAGGTTCAGAACTCTGAGTCCGCATGCGACTCACCGCAACTTTTGTGTTTCCCTTGGCCGGCACGCTCACTTGGAGCCCGGTTCCTCCACCAGTTCCCAAATCACCCTCCATCCTCGCAAGCCCAGTCTCCGGAGAAATGGATGAACTCGAGGTTTCGTAGGAGCCTTCAGGACCGATGACACGAAAGGGTGTTGCAGGAAGCGACCGTTTTGACATCGACTATCCGGTGCAATGCAACGACTCTCAACTCAATCAATCAACTCAATCTCAACACACTCAAATTCGACCCGACTCTGTTGAAGGACTCTCAACTAACTATAGATAGTTTGTTCACAAATGCTTCAAACCAACAACCAACACGGTCTCGACACACTGAGCAGCGCCACCTCCTCTCTTTTCACTGCCGGCACGCGACGTTTGTCGCGGAGTTTATTGCCACGCGCTTAGAGCTGCGAATTTCGGGCAGTGGATCGCAAAAAGCGATGAACGAGTCGCGTCGGTCGCGAGAACGCGACCAGACGCGAAGGCAGCACGACTCTGGCCGACGACAAGAAACAATGTTCCACCGCCAACCAATGAAAGTCCTCAATACAACCAATGTCTGACCACACAAGATCCCTCAATGATGCAACAACGGCCTCAACCCGACACGTAGCCTTTTGCAGACGGATTTATCGACCAATGTCGCAAAGTTCAACAGCAATGTAGTACCAGCCTCAACCCGACACGTAGCCCTTTGCAGACGGGTTTATCGACCAATGCTACAATGCCCACTCTCGACCAATGTGCACCCACACTGGTCGTCTTGCTCGACCTCACCTGGTCCCGAAAATCCTGCCCAGTTCTCTGGCTGTGGGCAGTTCACTGGTCCTTGGAAAGGTCCTGAGCGTTCTCTCAAGTGGGACCAATGCCTCACTCGGATACGATGCAGCACGAATGCAGTGAGTCTTGTGTCCAATCGGCACGTTCTGCTGGAGCGTGCGCACGTCGTTCAACAATGAGCCTTGGTCGTCAACGTAAACGATCGGGCCAAACTGTGCGACCAACTTCGCCTTGCTTCCTATGTGCCCGGTAATCGACGCTCCCTGCTCGGCGTCTGTGGAAAACTTGGTTCGCGTAATCGCGACAATGTCAAAAGACCAACCAAGTCGACTTTCCAATTCCGCGACTCCAGCTGCAACGCCTTCCTGAGTAGCCTTGTTTGAGGCAAAGCTGAGAATGCCAATTGCGAATCCCTTTTCCTTGACTGTCCTCGTCTGTACGGTCGCCTCTGCAACCGGCGGCTCGTTGTTCGGGAAACTCAGGGTCTTGTGGAAGTCCAGCAGAACGAGGGGTTTGTCTTGCCAGGCCGGAGGTGGCGCTCCGAGTGGCTCAGGAGGCCGGGCTGAAGGCGACGGCTCTCCGGACGGCTGCGGCCTCTCCTTCGGCCTTGGGGCAAGAACAACAGGCTGAATCTCCTCGGTCAACTTCGGCTTGGGTGCAGCCCTGATGGTCACAGGAACGGGTGGCTCACGAGGCACCGGCGGTGGAGGCGGTAGGCTCTCCAACTCACGTTTCCGCGCAGCTTCTGTCTGCTCGATCTCTTCCTTCGTCGGCACCGGAGGCGGGGTCGGAAGATCTTCAACAACACGCTTCAAGCCAGATCCGGACGAAGTTTCTCCCTCGCGCTGGCGCGATGAATCACGACCAATGGCACGACGCAATGCACCAACTGCCGACTCTTCACGCCCAATGTCACCGGCCTCGACCTGCTCCCTCCTGGTTTTCGCCTTGGCTGATGTAGCCTGAGGCGAAGGCTTAACTCTCTTCTCAACCGGAGGTTTCACTTCAACTGGATCTTCACTGATCGAAGGCGACGGTTTGCTAGCAGTAGGGCGGGCCGACCTGGATCGAAGCTCTCGTGCTTTCTCCTGAATGCTCTCCGGCTCAAGCGACACTGAATGCTCTGTTGCTTCTTCTGTCGCCTGTCTCGCGATCGAATCCTCGGTCGCCGAAAAGTCAACACCTGATGCCACTTCCGGCGAAGCGCCGGGAACCTCAGGAGCAATGTCACCGACTGCTGCACGACGAGTCTCACGAGGCTCACCTGTCACCGTGTCAACACTCTCACCTTCAAGCTCCACTTCCTCCTGAGGGATCTCGTCGTCCTGAAACCCTTCTTCACAATCCCTGCTGTCCTCCGTGGGGAGTCCACGCTCCCGACGGGACTGCTGGCTTGGCCTGTTAGGGTCACCACCCCGTGGGCCACGACGACGCCGCGATCGTTCTCGCGGTGACATGGATCGCGCCCGAAAGCGCGAGGCAACAAGTGTTCGAAAGACGTTTCAACACAATGCCGATGTTTCGTTTGACACGCTTGTCGTGATGTTCGTGTATGGTCTCGTTTCTTCAACCAATGATCTCCTTGTAGCTCTTGCGGCTGATAACCAGTTAAACTCTGGAACCTGACTTTCCTATGCAAAGGCAGCGGTCGATACGATCTCGAACGACATTCACGGCCCTGGCACCTTTTCTTCAAGTTCTTGAGCCAAATCAGGTTTGGCGTCCACAGTGCAACGGCAAAGCCGATTACCGATGATGCAAGTCTTTACATGACAATTCCTAGACACCAACTATACATGACGTGTCATCTATACATGAAGTGTGCAACCTCAATCTCACTCAAGCTCAGTACTTCTTGGGGACGTTTCTAGCTGAGGGATTTCTTCTCATCATGATGGAACATTGTGGAACATCCGGCCAGGGGACCTTTTCACGCCGATGTTGCACAATTCGGCCTACTCGGTTCGTTCACAATTCTGCATGATTTCCCTGAGTCGCAAAGGACCCAGGGACTTGACGGTAAACTGATTGCGGTCAGTGATTGCCTGAGTAGCACCTCGCATCTGCGCCAGCTCCTCCTGCAAGTCTTCATCGTCTTGTGTCGTTCTTTTTCTGTATGGCTTCTTCGACGCCCGTTTGGAGACTTTATCGCTCATCTCTTTCTCCAAGCGACCCCGATCTCTGAAAGCTGCCTTGGCCTCTGCCATGGCTTCTCGCTCCAGTTCAGCTTCAACTTCTGCTGCTTCCTTTTCCAGTCTTTGTTGCCACCTGGGTTTCTTCGGCAAGCTCTGTGCTTCTTGTTCGGCTCGGATGAGGTCAGGCAATCGCAAGAGGTGCAGCACTGGACGTGGAGCTCTAGAAGTAAAATTGCGGCACAAGTCCTCCTCTCTGGCTTGACTACTTGGTTGGGCCATGACCGATGCATGGCGAATCAGTCCTTCTTCTCCATTGGCGAAGCGGACAGCCATGCAATACTCGTTTGCTTCATCTTTGCCGACATTCTTCTCGATAACTTGAGCTTCAGCGTCTTCACCATCTGGCCCAGGCACCAGCACAAAGTCACCAGTTTCAGGACCTCGTTGAAGGAGCGCAAAATCGGGATGAAAGGGTACCACCTTGATTCCCAGTGACTCAGCCAAGGCAAAGCCGCCATCAAGATGCCAGGTGTAAAACGCATGGAAATGACGGAAATCTTTGTTCCAAGCTGGGACATGAGGGCAAACAAGCAAAGTCGTTTTTGCTCTCGTGTCTCCTGTTTCGCGTGCTCCCATCCACAGCTCCCGAGCTTCTGAGACCAAGTCATCCAAAACTTCTTTCGAGGTGGTGGACTTGCTTGTGACAATTCGAAGGTTCCCTGCTTCCTCAGCAGGGGATGCCCAGGGACAAAAACCGAAGCCAATCACCACATCTGTCAGCCATTTCTGAACCGGCACAGAGTGACGGTTCTCACCAAGAACAACAACTTTTCGTGAAACCCTTAAGTTTCGCAAGGTGGCTGACATATGCCGGCACCGCTTGCGGAACTGGACCGCACAGGCAAAGCCGGCAAAGCTCAAAGAAACGTCTCGAGCGCTTCTGGCTTTGAGGATTGTGGTCGTAGTCCGCAGGGCTCTGAGCGTTGTACTTGTCTCACGTGCTGGTGCCCGGGCAACAGAAAGCGCAGGAAAAGCATCAAATTGAAACATCCACTACACGTATTGCAAAGAAATCTTAAACACTTTTGGCCAACTTTGAGCCACGCTTTGAACCTGGTCCTTGCAGCAAACGGAAAGTTGGCTTGATGTCTGATAGCTGCATGACGCAAATCCCGCAAATCGTGTTGGAAACAATGATATCTGAACAGCGGTCTGCTCCTCCGCCCAGCTGTCTCCGAAAATGAGGAGGGGCCTAGCAGTCCAAAGCTGAGTCTTGAGACCTGCACTTGTCAGAAACTACTAGTTGGACGTCCAATGCTACTAAGAACAAGACGAAAGCGTTTGCATTTCGCTCTTTCATTGAAAACAGCTCTGGCAAGAACAAGAAGCTTTGTGATTTCTTCCTTCCAAAGCACCATCTACAAAGAAAAGCTGATCATCTGTCGCTTGAGCTTGGGACGTATGGGCTGGAAGTGCCCGCTTCAAGAGTAGTGGCGCTTCAGCGGGCCCAGCCTCAGAGTGGCACATGTGGCACCGCACAACGTAGCACATGTGATCAGCATAGGCAAAGCATAGCTGCCAACATCGGGCTCATGAGACGTATTTGCACCCATGGCTCGATGCAAGTGAGATGAGGAGGGAAACAACACGAACAGCAACGAGCGAAGGAGTATAACTTTTTTTTTGACTAACCGTGTCTAGCACTAGTCACAACTGCTGACTACTGTACCCTATATAATCATAATCTTTGACCCTCCCCCTGGAGCCAAGGCAAAAGAAACCACGCAGGTGATAGGTTTTGTGAAGTTGCTCTTCTGGTTGGACCGTCAAGCAAGCACCTCACTTTTGTTCTGCCAAATTTCAATGCTTGCAAAGCCTCGTGCGCTGCTCTCTCTCTCTCTCTCTCTCTCTCTGTCTCGTTAGCAGCTGTGTGGTGGTGTGTTTTGACACGGTTGCTTTTGTGAATTTGCGTCACCCAGCGTTGTAGCACATTGTCCGAGGCCTCTCGGGATTCAGCTGCAGGCAGGGACAATGTAGCGGTCATCTGCATCTGGCTTGCCTTGGAGAAAATGCGACTTGAGTTGTTTTGATATGGTCTCAACATCTTAGAGCGAAGCAGCATCATGGGACAGCCTGCTGACGGCCTAAAAGCTCAGGACTCAACACCATCCAGAAGCCAGTTTGATGTCAAACAAGAAAGGCATCTCTTGCCGGGACGCAAATAGCACACGGCTTGCATCACTCTCCGGCAAAGCACCCAAGCTTCTCCAGAGGTCTGTAGATGGAATAGAGTGGTGCTTTACGGTCAAGCCCCTGCAATGGCCTGGTGGAGGGCGACTACTGGCAGTGCGGAAACAGTCGGAGACTATGAGAATCCTGCCTTCTTCCAATGCGAGCTGCAAAGTCTTGAGCATCAGAGTCTTTTTGGACCTGAGAAGCCATGACACATGCAAAGAGGACGCACATGCAGGACACATCCGAACACGCAGCACAACGAAGTTCAACACATGCAGCCGACATTTGCACAACATTGCGCAACCGTGCCTTGGCTGAAAGCCTTGGTGCAAGAGCCATCGCATTCACGACTAACCGGCTACCCCATCATACAACCTCTGGATCTAGGCAAACAATGACAACAGGTTACAAAAATGGCAGCCTCATACACCCTCTGGATTCACCACACCGTCCACCTTTTCATGTCCATTGTTGCTTCGCCGAAGGCTCTTCTATTTTCATGCTGCAAAACTCCCCAAACCATTCCAAGGCCATCATATGTGATGCAGTCTACAGTCTGAATTGTCTAGTGGCCCGGCCTAGTCCTTCCAGAAGAGCCACGATATGTTGCCAATGGTGTCCTACGATGCGAGTAAGAGTTCTTTTGGGCAAACACTGTGGACAAATGGTGGCACCCATTCTCAAGCAACCGTCCTTTTGCAAGTGCAAGGGCTGTTGTGCCAAAGCTCCTAAGCTTCACATTTGCACGCAACAAGGACAGTCATGGACAGCTTCTAGTTGACACACAACTCGGCGACTGACAGCATGTCAGTCTCATGTCCGGAATGCAGCCTAAGACGGAGTGGCAATCACATTCCTGTGTCCAGCAACTGACAAGGACCTACATTGCAAATAGGCTGGCACAGCTGGAGCGTCAACTCCCACTGCCCACCTCCGAAGTCATCAGCGCAACAAGTTTCCATGTGGTTTGGTAATATATATGCATATCTCAGCCCCAAGCTGCTGCTGGAGGCATTCAGGACTCCGTTGAGTAAGGCCCGGTTAGAGAAAACCCCCGTGCAAAGAGCATAGGCCGCATGCTGCCAGTGGTTGGCACCTTGAAAGCGAATTCTCGCGTGAGTATATAAAGATAGAATAAAGATAGACACAAGCCCATTGCTGTATGTCGTGGATGGATTCGCTTCGTGCTCCGCCTTTTCTTTGCGCATTGAGCACGAATCACGGGTGAAACACAGTGGCCAGATTGCACCACAAATATCCACAAATCATCACAAATCAACATCTCACTATGCACTCTTTGTACACTACATGATCATCTGGGCAAAAGCTTGCATGCTCTAGGCTTCGGGACCGCTCAAGAGCTGCAAGGAAGACCAATGTTTGAAGGCCAATTCTCAAAACACAGAGCCGTGAGTTGTTTCCGGTGAAATGCAATGATATTAATTATTGCAATTTACTAAGTAACTACGGTGTTACGATGTTCACCTTATAAGGATTCAGCGATCAATCCTCTCTCGTCGATGGAAAAGGAGAAGTCCTCACTGCGCTTTGCCATTCCGGGCAGCGCATCCTGGCGACACTTGCAGCAGGAAAATTGTGTAAACATGTGTTCACAAAATGTGCAAAAAGCGCGCGTTGCAAGTCACAACATGGCACAAGAACGTCGGACCACTTGTCAAAAATGTATGCTCAACTGGAAGCAGACTGCCAAAAGAACAAGAATTGCATGGCGTCCTTGATGACATTCAATTCCATCTGCAATTGCTCAATGGACGGATCTTGTAGCATCTTCAGCGTCTTGCAACAGCTTCGAGCGTCTTCTCCCATGTGTGCCCAAAGCAACTCCGTAATCGCCGTCCTCTCTGTTACAGAATCTCCAATTGATAAAACATTTCTCCAGGGATTTCGGCCATAAAGCTTCTTAAGGACCTTCTTCATTGCTTGCTCTTTAGCCATGGTCAAGGGGCAAACCCCTTCCTCGAAGTCCCCATCTGGGCTTCGCATCATGTATGGCTTCACGCACTCTCGAGAGTAAATGATTGGAATGCGTAGATCTTTGAGGAGTGTCTCGATCTGCAACTTGGGCATATACTCAGAAGCTGACTTGGCCACCCATGGCCTTCTGGACAGCGTCACGATTGCCACTTGCCCGCAGGACCTTGCCAAGCAAAGGAGCTCTCTCACTGTGGCAGTTAGCTTGTCAAGCGATGCATGAAAAGCATCATCTGCTGGCAGGTTTTCCTTCACTGTCTCTATCACGTGCCAAGTTGGGAAGAGTGTATCATCCCAGTCAAAAATGATGGCCGTCTCACTGGGTTTGAACGACTGGCTAGCCGGTTGCTCTACTCTCTCTTCCGGCTGGCTCAATGGGACCCCAAGCATGTCAAAAAGCTTGCTGGCCAAGGAAAACAAGCCGCCGCCTTCTTTGGATTCTGCTTTCGAGCTGGAATCTGAAGCTGCTGAAGCTGGGTCCCGATAAGGACTGCCAAAGTAAGAGGCAAATGGAAGAGGCTTCTCTCCAGGAAAAGAAACAGAGACACGGTCTTCCTCATCAGAACTTTCATCAAGTACACTGCTTCTCCTGCTTCCCGGGGATGAGCTTTGTGCGCCGGCGTAGCCATCTGGCTTCACAGGCGGTGCCAAGCGAGGCAGCGTGATTCCAGGTGCGCTAGGTGCCGACATCGGGGCCACGTGCTTCCACGAACGGCCCGACTAGGAAAAAGATTCAAATCCTGAGCCAAGTGCAATGCCGTTCGAATCGATCTTCCTACGTACGATTTGTAATGCTGTTGGAACGTCAAATGCCACTTCCAAGAACAGTTGATGCCCCTCCGTCCAAACAAATAGATAGGCGCGCACGCTCCATTGCGGACAGCAAAGTACCGTGGGTGGTGGCATCAGCCTGAACCAATGTGTAGGATGCACTCTACATGGCAAGAACATGTCAAGAATGGCAAGTTCTGCTTTGTTGATGATCTTGCCGGGCCTGAATTCCAAGATGTTGCATCTTCTCATAGAGAACAAACGCACGCCACCACTGTTGGGCTTGCTCGCACCTGCCAAAAAGAGTGACTCCAACTCCTAGCTGGAAATTTTTGTAGTCCACTTGCTGAACATTTCATACATCCTTTTCTTCATGCCCTGTCAAGTCAGGACACCCTGTCATAAGCGTGTTGAATGTTGATGATGTTGGTGTCAGCGCATGTTGCAGCATGTCCTGCCAAGAGGGGGGCCCTCCACCTGTTTCAATTACAATACATCGCTTCGATTCAACATTAAAAATTGTAGTGAGCTGCTTCACATTGCTTCACCTGTGTGAAAGCTTGCACCAAGGCTGCCCAAGCACTATGTCAATGTCTTACTGATATAAACGAGGCGATGCAAAAAAATGGTACAATATAAGTTTATATAATTTGTAGCACATTGTAGCACCATCTATCCGCCCAGCAAGGCGCCACTGCCCCAGATCAGGACGTGTTTATGATCTGACTGACGCTTTCAACAGAAGAGAGACGGAGACCTTGAGGCCGAGGGTAGGTGACGAAAGCTAGCAGGGATGCATCCGTGTCAGTGGAGGCGAAGCATACAGTGCCGTCCAGTGACAAAGGATTGGTGGGACATCAAGCGGAGTGAGGCAATTTTTTTTCACAGGCATGGGGCTGTTGGAGGGATGGTTCACAAGGTCTCGCTCATGAGGTAAAACGTTGTGAACATGTAAGACACACGGACAGCAATGACACAGCCAACCTTAGCTTGTGAATCTGTTGAATCTGTTGCATCGTATCCCAAAAACCTCCACGGAGGAGTTGAACCAAAGTGGAGGCGTCCCAGGGGGGAGTTGAACCCGTGGGGGGGGCCCTCTACATATGAAGTTTTCACGCGATGCGGCGATCTCGAGGATTCCAGCCCCTCACTTGCTAAACCAAGGACAACTCCAGCTAGCTGATGCTAAGCTTTCGTGAAAAAAAGAATCGAGAGAGAGAGGAAGGAAGGAAGGAAGGAAGGAAGGAAGGAAGGCATGATTTGTCTGCTCTGAATTGGACGGAGGTGCCGGGCCAAGGCAAAGGCCCTTTGACAAACCTTTGTCGAGTTCTTGGTGTCACAGGATGCCCTTCGATACCCGTCTTCTGTTTGAACTTCATTGCTATGCAAGCAAGGTCATCTTGCATGACCTTGGACCTTACGAACGAATTATGCAACATGAAATCGCTTGCCCAAACTGGTTTGCAACTGTCCTGTAGGAAAGTGATGGCTTGTTGCCATTGATGCACTGCTGCACAGGCACCAGCCATAATGTTGAAGGTGATAACCTCGACGACAAGTGACAATGACGAGGAAGCTTTGAACATGCACTGAATAAGCATACACATAAGTACACTAGACGGCACCTTGTCTCAAGCGTCGTGGCAATCAAGTGTTGCAAGATGTTGCAAGTGTGGAACCGTGGAGTTGCCCTTTAGGACCCGTGCATCCGAAGACATCGGTAGTCTATGGCCCTGAGCCTGGACTTCAATTGCCATCGGTTCGTCAACAATTCAATTTCCTAATCGTCCGGTCCGATTCTCCTTGAAAAGCCCCAGCACAACATCCCAGCCTTGGCACGACTTCTGTGTTTCCATGTCAATGTGGGACAACAATCTCTGATCTTGGAACCGCACGGGTGGCATTCCGACAGGCTGTCATGGCACTGTTCAGTGAGGTCAAGTCGCCTCCACCCACCCATCCTTCGAGCATCAAGCTTTGCATTTCTTCGCTGGGGCTCCAACCCTCCAACGATGCACTGCTCGAGAAAACATGCAGTGCCTCCCAATTTGCTTGGACGGGCAGCGGAGTGAGCCCGAACCACCGGAACCACTACACAACCCACAGGATGAGAAACAAACAAATATGGGATTGAGTTGTGCTGAGCTGGGATCTTTTTTGATTCGAGCACTATCTGTGAGCCCCCTGTGAGACGAGGAAGGTTGGATAGGAAGAAATGCTCCGCGCTCTGCAAGCCATGCTGTTCACATTCAGCCATGAGCAGACTTTGGCTCATGGCATGAGGCTCCACTTGCCGTTCCTCCATTGCTATCCCGAGGGACAAGCCCAGCCGCCACCCAGAGCCAGCAGGTTCACGGCAGCATGCATCCAATGATGCTGCAAAGCCTGCAACCCCAGCTTCAACTCCTTGTGTGGCGCGCGTTTGCTGTTCTTCCTAATCTTTCTCTTTCGCTTGGCTAGACACAGAATGGGAAAGAACACAGCACAACGAAGCAGGAGTGATACTCCTTTGTCAAAGCAGCGATGCAGTAGAGCCGCAGAAATCGACCATGTGAGATCTTGTCCTTTTATCGATGAGCAGTAAACAACATGTTGGTTCTTTGAACGTTTGAACCTCTTGAGCTGCTTCAACAATGAGATTTGATAACCTGCAATGTTCTGTAAAGGCCTGAGGCACTCATTGCGGAATCGTAGGTCCTCAAACGTAACTAGGGGCATGAGCATGTTGCTGTCATGAGATGTCGTGACTCATTCACCCACCGCACTGCGGAATGATTCAGGTTGCTGCAATGAATCAGTGCGTAGTGCTTGGCCGGTAGCAAAGCCCATCAAAACAAGTGTCTGGCAGTGCAAGCAGGTGATAGCAACGGCATGGAATGGGCACTGCTTGAGGAACCACACAACATAAAATCCAAGCCGGAAGCACTTCAGACCATCGTCCACCACTGGCACAAGCATCAATCGCGCTATTCGTGCCTGCTACGAAAGGAGCGCCCTCTTCAAAATCAAGATGACAACATAGACAAGCCTTTGGGAGACATGCTAAGGTCCGGTCTAATGATGTCTGGCACCAAGCTCTCAAGGTATGCCGTGCTGTAGAGCTCCAGAGCTGCCTGCAAGATCGGTGCAAGACTTGCCAATCTTGTCACATTCATGCAGACTGGCCTGCCAGGTCGAATCTTCACTGAAGGCATTGAGCAACGGGTTGCAGGTCACAAGTGTTCGAAAGCTCGAACATCTTCCAAAACATTCAAGTGATCGCTGCCAATGGCTGGCCAAAGCCTTGGTTTGCTCACGGCATGGACCTGCTCAAACCAAGTAATGCAAAGTTACGATTAATAAACCTCCCCTAGTTAATCCGAAGACACAAGCCCACCAAAAATTGCCCAAATTACTACCTACTACCTACTACCACCTACTACCGACGACGACTGCGACTACCATGGCTCCCTGAGCCGATAATTCAGGGGAGGTGGACCTCATGAGTGGTATCTCATACCTTCTTGACCTTCTTGACCTACCATGTGGGGGGGGGTTATTAATCAGAGGATTTCATTACAGTAAGACTGTAAAAAACTGAAGCCTATTGAAACGATCAGTGCCATGATTTTTCTGAGGAGCGTGGCACGTAATGATCGCTGCATGCGTCGAAGCCGTGGCACGTGAGCCTTGAAGCTGTGAGCGGCTTGCCTGGATCAAGTCAAGTGATTTGAACTTCCCCACACACAACCCCAACAAAAGGCACAAACGCCGGAAACCAGTCCAGCTCAAGTGGAAAACTACCTAGTTGGACACCAGAGTGGCCAGGACCAACGCAACCTCCCAGCAGCGAGCACGTAAGCACACCGAAAGCGCGACGCCCAGTGCCACCGCATCTACCTCCAACTTTGAACTGGCCATTTCGCTCAGCAAAGCCAGTGACCATTGCCAACCAGACTCCCAGTGCCGACCCTCTTTCAAGGGTTCCCCACCCCAATTGTCATTGGCAGCGCCCATAGCTGCAGTGTAAATCTCCTTGGTCTTCCCGATTCGGCACTTGTCCATGGATTTGAGGAGAATTTCAGTGAAGATTTGCTGCTGTCCACGTGCGCAAGCAGTGATGACCGCCAGAAAGCTCAAGCTTCCCGATGTTCCGTGTGAGATGTTCGACTTCAAATTCTTGTCAAAGATCAATAGTGCCTCCAATCAGGACAAGCTGAGCAAAACCCTCTGTGAAACTGTTGTCTTATCTTGATTGGCATCTGGTGTGATATGATATATGATATATGATGTATGATGTATGATATGACATGATGTATTATATGAAATGATGTATGCTCTGATATGAATATGATCTGATCTGATCTGATCTGATATATATATGTAACTATGTATATCTATCTATGTAAATATACATGTTTATAAAGCACATCAATATTTTTTCCTCTTTGCTTCCTTCGGGCCTGCGGCCAACATGACTCCGCGGCGCAAGCACTGAGAAAGGCCCGGCTTGGCGCGTCTACCTGCGGCACATAACTACAAACATGCATTGCCTTTGGACACAACAGAATGAAGTGCTCTATGTGTGGCACCCCTCGCCGCTTTCGCCAACCGTTGTCAAACCTGGTCCTCATCAGAACTGCGGCCAACGAAGTTGAGGCAAAGCTGCCAGCGAGCAGGTCGTGCAGCAGCTGCGGCCGCTGAAGCAGATTTGGCTGAGACTTTCAAATTCTGCTTGGCCAGTTGAGTTAAAAGCTGCAATGCGCTGAACCAGGGCAAAGCGCTAAAAAAAGAGAAGGTGATGTTGTCAGGTCTTAAGCCTTCCTGCTCTAAGCTTGTGAATGGAAGCAAGGTTCGTTCCCATCCAGCACTGGTTGAAGCGCCAACCATCGCATTGAAACTTACCATGTCCAGCTCCACTTCTGCCTTTGAGGCGCTTTGGAAAACACAACAGCTCCAAAACCAGTTCCTTTGTCTGGTGGCTCCACTTTGTGGCGAACTACTGCGCAAACCGCCGCACACCGCAGCTGCAGCGTTGATGACGCTGACATGCTGTGGCCCATGACGGAGCAATTCCAAAGCATTGGCCCATTCCAGGCCGGCCATGCAGGCCTAGGAGCAATGGGCATCGCTACTAGGAACCAGGACGCTACTAGGGGTACTAGGGGCTCCTGGCCTTTACTACTAGGAACAATGTTTGCTATTGGAATTTAAAGTAATCTATAATTGAATTAGTAAAGGCGAAAAACACATGCCATCATAGCACCGTTCGGGACCCTTCTGAGTGCTATGCACTGTAGGTGACGCTGTCGGCCAAACTGTGTGAATGGGACTGGGTGAACCTGAGGCGAAGCAGATTGAAGTGGTTAATTGTTTTGGTTGCAGCCAAACTGCAGCTCCACTCCATGAAGCCAGCTGTGGCAACCGCCAATGGCCGAATTGAAGCTCACAGTGTCCTGCCACCAGCCATCCAATACACAAGCCATCAATGAGCCAACTTTTTGAGGCCTGCTCCAAAGCAACCTCGCGGAAGTGCTGCAGCCTTACTTTGTTCAAGCAAGACCTTTGTTCAGAAGAAACAGCATTTGGATTCCTTGTTGGGGGCAAGGCAAGAAGAGGCATTTCGGCCATTGGCTGCTCCGACTAGCTATCGCAATCTCTTGGTTTGCCCTGACGACCTTGCATGCAAGACCACTTGGCGCCAGGAACACAAAACCCTTTGAAGTTCTTCTCCGGGAGCATGTGGATCGATCCCCCACATTGAAAATTCCCCTGCCTCTGGCTTCCACACGAAACTTCGGGCCCATGGCCCAAACATGCAAAAGGCTGATCATGAAACATCAAACATCATTCAAACAACAATAAACTCTCTATGAGCATCATTAATGGCTGAGCAATGTGTGCACATGCGGTGATACTTGCGAATTGTGACGTTGGATTCGGTCACACTTTAACTTTAACAGCTCACATCTGGCATGCCAAAGTCTCGAAGAACGCGCCAAGCATGCAAGCAATGAGGATGTTGTTCAAACATGTTCAATCTGTGAACTGCGGCGTGAAAGCATGAACTCCCTGTACCATGGTTTCTATCATGAGGTGTGGGATCATGTCTTCAAGAATGACTGCCAGCCTTTTCCCAGGCTGCCGCAGCCGCACAAGCTGCAATCAATGAATTTAGGCTCACCACCTTGTTGCCAATGGCATGTTTGGCTTGAAGGTGAAAAACAACGAACAAGCTACAGCAAGGTCAACAGTCAATGCACACAACAGTAGCAGCAGCTTCAACGGGAATTTTTTGATGGGCTTACAGTAGTTGGCTTCCAAAAGTTCAAGTGTTGGCAGTTTGATCCGATGTATGATCTGGTATGCACCACTTAATCAGCTGAATTGTCCAAAAGTTGCTTTCTCGTTGATCGGGAAGGGGCTGCGGCTGCTCACTATTGACCAAAGCAATGCGCTGAGGGCACGACTGATGGCTGCAAATCTTGCAACGTTGCAGCTTCAAGCAGCAACACCGCCTGAGAGCATTTGAGAAAAACTGACCTTAAACAGTTTAATTGACTCCCAAAAATGCAAAAAGATTTGCAAAAGCAAAACATACGCAAAAGTACACACGTGCTATGCCACTCATGGCTCCAATGTTCCTGCCTTTTGCCAATCCTCAACTGACAGCATGGCACAGTTGTACAGCACCTGGGCCAATTCGAACAAGAACCTTTGCAAATAGGCAGGTTCTTTGCCCAGAGCAATAGAAGTGTCCTGGCGCAGTGACACCTCGGCTTGAAAATCCAACACTTTAAATATGCAAGCTGTGACCGTCCTCTGCTTCGTGAAGCAGCTGGCAAGTCATCCTACACAACATCCAGCATTATATAGTTAGCATCAGTAGTATGCGATTGCTACCTAAGCAAGCCAAGCGATTTGCAAAATCCCGTCTGTCAAAATGCGACAGCTGACCTCCAATGCTTTTTTGCTGCCATGGCTGTAAGAATTTCCTGGCGTGCGCGCCAAATCTGCAGAACATAACCTTTGTCAAGCTGAGTCAATGGCACTCCACCTTAATGGGATCAAATTGGTGAGATCGAAATCCATCAATATTGCGAGTGGATCTTAATCAGCGAAGTTTGAAGCTATCACTGACGGTCCATAAGCGGCGTAGCGTCGGAACGGAAACCGCACCTTTTCTAGTCGCTTGATCCTTGAGCCAAAGTACATATGGTACATATATATGTACAAGTTGCACTGTACGTGTCGCTGCACTTCCATTCGCACCCCCCATGTGAACGGCAACAGTATGTTCCGATCACACACGAAAATTTAGGGATGTAAGTGCTACAAAGAAATTGTATGATTTGCCGCGAGACTCATATGAGGCTCATACTACGAAACATGCTGGACTAAAGCGGACTTTTACATATAAAGTGTGCAACTATGGCTCAGAACCTATGAAAATCGAATTGAACAAGTGAGACAGTCACGAGGCCTCGCTCAGTATCCACTCAAAAGAGCATCGCTTTGATGTAGATCCGAACTGGTGACTTCCACGTAGATGTCACATCGGCAACTGACTTCACACTTCTCAAAAGATGTAGGTTTTGATCTGGATACACTTACAGAACGGCAAGTCGGAGAGACAGTCGGTGACTGTCTGCCTTCCATTACGCTCATGGTATCAAATCGTATTGATGATTTGCAATGATACACTTACAGCGTTTCAGGTCAGATAGACATCCGGTGAATGATTTCCTCCCTGGTTTGCATGGTATCCTCATAGTCGCTCAAAGAAATCACCACTGGTGATAACCTCTCCATCCACGATGATCCCAGCTGCCCTGAGCATCCCGCCGATCATCTTCTCCCTTCTTGGACTTTCCCTTGGACTTGCTCTTTCCCTTCCCCTTTTCAGAAGGTTGAGGTACTTCGCGACGTTCTTGCGTTAGCGCCGGCCTCCAAGATGTTCCAGATTGGCCTCCTCCTTTGGAATGTCCTCGGGATGATGAAGAAGTTATACCTTCTGCTGCATGTGCATTGGCGGCAATATCTTCCTGCAAAGCTTGCTCAAACACATCGGTAGCACTGGATGGTGATTTATCATGTGGTCTGGCTTTTGGAGCAGCCTTCACCTTGTTCTCCTCTGCTGATGAGGGCCCGAAACTCTTAGGCGCTGTTGAAGGTTTTGGCTCCTCACTTGGTGCTGACGACGGCTTGGCCTCGGTTCTGGGTGTAGATGCTGGCTTTGCCTCAGCTCTTGACGAAGATGCCGCTTTCGCTTCAGACTTAGTCGTTGATGTTGACTTAGCTGTTGCCTTGGCTGCCTGCTTCTTCTTGCCCTGAATCTCCTTGGCCCTATCTCCAAAGCCTAGACGATTGGTAAGAGCTTGAACATGCTTATGTTCTACCACGCTCATCCATCTCTCTGTATGTCCAACGTTGGGGTTTCTGGCCATTGACTCTATGACTTCCTGAGCTTGTGGGGGTAACCTGATCTCATGTTGATCAATGATCAACAGAATAGACTTCTCCCATTTGCTCTTCATTCTCGAGTACATGATGTCCAGAGGATCGATCACCTTGTGGTTGGGTGATGTAACGTCGGTTCTAAAGTAAGAATATGTCCGACAACCATGAATCGCATGGATGCACTTCTGTACCAATTCAGTCATTGCGCTGGCTTTCTTCGCTTTCAACTCCTCAAGCTGGGCATCAGTCAAGTCGGTGGAGTGTTCGAAGTTGCCATATTCCTCCTTGAAGGATTGCGGAGTATGACCAAATGATAGGATCATGAGTGCTACCTTGCAAATGAATTGCTCTCCTCTGAATCGGTGCCAGGCCTCCTCAGTTGTAATATTGTTGTCGTTGGCAAAGATTAACATCATATCATCTGTTGGATCCAATGGTCTCCCATCGTCATCGATTTCAGTGGAATCTCCTGTACCGAACTTGCTTATCACATCCAGACGCTTCCTTTTCCAATTTGCTTTGAAGTCGGTAAGGCTGGTGCAATAGTAGCTCTTGTACATCAGGGAGATCATGTTCAGCACACATTTGACCACATACCTATCCATCAAACCCGATGCTTTCACGGAGACGTCCTGACAGTAGGCTCTCTCTTGATGCGCATAGACTCGAGGTTCCGGTACTCGACAATAGATGGGGAGATCTTCGTTGTCTCTTCCTTCTTCGGGATTGAACTCGGTCGCTCCACGCTGTGCATAGTATCCCGGTTCATCACGATCTGTCGGTCGATTCGCCTCCGGATGTAAGTCGTCGGTGACGTCTTCATCCTCGGGCTCACCATCTTGACGTTTCTTCCCCTCATATTGTTGTGTGCTCCTCTGGATCTCGATGATCACGTTTCGTTCGTCTTCATCTTCTAGATCAGAATCACGACCGTAGTCGATCTCGTCCTCATTGAAAGATGGGGTCTCGACATTGTCACTCTTGAAGTTTTCTGCACCATCAGACGGTTTGGAAGGATCTAGATTGTCCATGTCCTCGTCGTCGTCAGCTGCTTCAGTTTGAGCGATGTCTTCTTCCCAAGCCTTTCTGATCTCGTCCATAGTGGCCTGGTCCAATATATCTTGATCATCATCTTCAGGCTCCTTCTTTTCCTTCTTTTCCTCTTCATCGTCGCTCACAAGATCAACGGGTGAATCGGAAATGACAGTGTTGCGAATGCCACACGAGAGTAGCCTGCCTTGACAAGATAGACACACGGACAAAGATGAAGAAGTCAAATGCATACATGATGGACACAAAATATTGCCATCCACGTTGCGATACCCTTCACATGTTCTGGAGATGATTTCGTCCCAAGTTTCCTCACTGATGGAATCCTCGATCAGCTCTCCATTGTCATCGAATCGTACTTCATCGATAAGGGACACGAGCTTTTGGACGTTGTCATCTGTCGCCGAGGCTGACTTTGTGACTTCGTCGGCTCTCTCGAGGATGGTATGCTTCTGAGCAACCCAAAGTCCATGACGTGCCGCTAGAACAACTTGCTCTCCAGTGCTTCCCAGCAGGAGTCTCCTCCATGCCTGAACGTGGTCGTCCCAATACCAAGCACCTCGTACACATCTCCATGGAACTTCTCTAAAAACAACAGTGTAGGAATTCTCCGAAATTCTTCCCCCCAAGCTTCCTCAAAGTCATGATTGGAACATAAAGGCAAACAGGCATTCCCACTCTTGGCCATCTTGATCTCAGAATCTTTGATGATCGATCATCCCACGGCGCAAAGTGATTGAAGAAAACACTACCTCTATATCCATCCGTTCCACCAGGGACAATTCCTAGTTTCATGATTGACTCAATATTGGAAAGCGATGTCATGTGAAAGCTTCCTCCAAGCTGCATTGCCACATTCTCTGGAATGAGATGTGAAGTCCACACAGGATATATTGACACATCCTCTTCAAGAACAGTCTCTCTTCCAGAATTGTGAGAGGCAACAGCTCGAATTGCACAAGGAACGATCCAACGTTCATGCTTCAGAAATGACGGTGCGTCTGTGCTGTAAAACATGAGGTTTGCCCAGTATTGCCTTTCCTCTTCGAGTGAGACATCCTCCTTTGAGATGCGAATGGCGGCAATCTGATAGCGTACTCTGTTCTGCAACTTCTTTGCATGCCACATCGCCTTGCATAAATACTGGTATCGCTCTGTCTTGGTATCTTGCTCACGTTGAGTACCTGAGATAGTACTGATATCGACACCATCGTTGAAGACATGATCATATTCCAGGATCTCATCGACGTTCACCCATCCACCCTCATTGCACTTCGGGGACACATGGGGTTTTCGACCGCGGTGCGATTGAATCCCATTATGCTTTCCCACTCCATGCCTGAGTAGTCTATTGAGTCTATGGCTAATCTCGCTGACCCACTGACTCTCCTCGCTGAACTTGTCGATGCGAGTTGCTGGGTTCATCTTTGGTGGATCCGTGAAAGTTGCATCTCTCTTCGGTCCATTCCAGTACTCCACATAGAATGTAACTCCATACTGTGGAATTATCTCGATGTTTCCTCTATCGCAAGCCACCTCAATCTGCCGATATCCAACCTTTTGAAATTGTTGTGGGTCAGGAGCAAGGTCCTTCACTTTGGGCATCTTTATTCCGAGTGCTGCAGCCTCCTGAATAAGTGCATCAAGTTCCCTCTTTCCATCAGGACCTGATCTATCAACCCTGTGATTTGCGACCCTGTACTCTCCTCCTTCTTTGTCATCGGCAATGTCAAAGAGGTCGACGGGCTCTTTGAATCTGGTGACGAAACTGGCGTTCCCAAAGGCCTTCTTGGTTGCCTCGACCGCTTTCGCGTATTCCTCTTTTGCAGAGTCTGACGAGTGTGGTCTACCTTTGGCTCTCGGAGAGTGAGGTGGTACCTTACCTCCTAGTTCCGGCTCTTCTTCGGGAAGTTCAATATCTTCATCATCCACATCCATGTAGTCCTCGTCTTCGACGTCCTTGGATGACTTTGCTTTCCTCTTTCGGCTTTCAACATCACGTCGGATGATTGCCTTGTCGTCCTCGGTAAAGCACTTGCGCATAGTTTCCTCCATGTAAGAGAATGAGTTCATCAACTCGTCCTTCTTCTCAGTGTTGGGACAAATAGCCAGGTGATGTTGGTTTGAACCACAACAATAGCACACCTTTTGGCTCACTGCGCGTGCTCTGACCCTTCTGAGGTTGTCATAGGCGGATTTCCAGCTGGAAGCGGTTGCTGTACCTTGCCCACTGCGCTTGGCAGCTCTTTTCCGTTCCTCAGTATCTGGATTCGATGTCGGGTAGTGTGACCATGTTTTCGTCGGAGATACTGAACGACCTTCCCCTTCCTTGTAGTCTTGCGGATCAAGCTCAGGCGTAGGTGGTTCAGGCTCCTCGACTCCTGGAGTGGTACTCGCAGGGTCGGCTTCGCCGTCCTTCATCTCTACATCAGGCTCTTCCGTAGACGTTCTTTTGGGCTCTGGGGCTATG